CGCGGGACGAGCTACTCTCCCTCGGTGGTGGATTCAACCTTTTTTGGGGGAGAGGTAAACGGGAGATGTGAACAAAACCAATGAGGAGACAAAAAGAAGTTCTCTGTTGTATCAGCCACTGGACTCAAACGACTCCCCCTTGAGGCCCCTACAAGCAACGGCCATCGACCAAAGGAACAAGCCTACCCTTTGTTATCTTCATAGAGCTGACAATCCCTCTACATGACATTTACGGGTCATTGCTAATGTAGCAATAAAGTGCTGCTTTGCTTACTTAGCCTGTTGCCTTATTTGCCCAAACCTGTCGTAGCTACAGTGAGTCGAGCTATGGGAAGAGGACATTAATCGTGCACGGTTCGGTTGTGTGCAGCTGGAACCGTTGCAAGGTTCCAGTTGCAAGGTTCTGCAAGGTTCTGCTCTGTGCACTAACCGTGCACAGAGCAGACCCCTTCAACGGACATGCCAGAAGACTTTCTTTGGTGCAAGAGAACACATCCATCGACGACAAGCGTACTCTGACGATATAAACACATACTGAAAACACCGATTTCGCGTGCTGCGAGAAAGCCTCCATGCTGCTGCCGATCAAGCATCCAGTCACTGGCTATGGACCATAGTTATGCATACTCACCAAACAGCATGGTTGTTGATGGGGGGTTGCTTCATGGAAACCAGGGTTGCTTCATGGATGGTAGAGGGGGAAAGCACTGCTGTACTTTGGGTGAGGGCATGTGTTGGTGTAACTTGAGACAGGGGGGTGGCAAATGCCCCCTTTGTGCCCCCCTACTGACGCCCATGCCAACTAGTGCTTCCTGGCGTTAGTGCAATGTTAGCCGAGATACGTGCTTGTTTCTGTGCGGCGAGAGCAAGCCGAGCTGTGAAACGTGTCTTTGGAAATTGTCGGACGTGTGCTCAATTTTGTACGCAATGGAAAGTGCACCAGTGGCCCCTCGTCCAGGTGATCGTATGCATAATTCATGGTACTTGGAATTGCAAAAGTGAATTTCACAGGGCCGGTGTTCTTAAATGATTATGGTGGTATTACCGTATTTACTTGCATAATAGGCGCACTTTTTTTTTTTTTTCAGGAAATCAGGCTCGAAGCTAGGGGTGCACCAATTACACAGGGTAAAATTTTCAAAAATTTTTTCGACTTGATTCTTGCTCTTTAAATCTGCACATTTGTCAATTAAAAGGCGGCTTTATCCTTTACGAATTAATTCAGCATAAAAGAAACATACCTATGTACTTAATGAACAAGCGAGAGCCATCAAATGCACACACACATGTAAAATTTATTTACACAAAAGTCGTAGGTGTTCCTCCTTTTCTCTATTCCGAGTCCGAGTCGGAGAGCACACATTTATCCTCGTTGAGCGGGGATTCGTTTTCGGTGTCCGAATCATCTGCACCCCACTACATGTCATCCTCACTCGCATCCAGTGCGTTCGAGATACCTGTCTTCTTGAAGCTTTTCTTGACTCGATCACCTGCCACACTTCCACAATCCAAGCGCACAGCATTTCCACAAGCAGCCTTTTAATCTTACCACCTGGAGTCAGTTGATGTTGTCCTCCATCCATCCAGGTGGTGTAAAGCCTTCGAACATTGTCCTTGAATGGCTTGTTCAAAGGCTGCAGTATCGATGTGAGGCTGCTTGGAATCGCTGTCAGATCTGTGCACAGCTCCTTCAGCTCATCTCGTAAGCGGTCTACTAGGTGCCCACAAAAACTGTCCAGGACAAGCATCGACGGGAACAACAGACCACCTGACGGTTGACCCCAGACTGTTTTCACCCAATCCACCATCAGTTCCGCGCTCATCCAGTCTTTTTCCTGGACTCTGACGTCGATGCCCTGAGAGAAATTTACCTTTGGGAGCGTCTTACGTTCAAAAATAACGTAAGGCGGTAGCTTGCGCCCATCCGCTGTCACCACCAACATTACGGTGCATTGTTGTTTATCAGCGATAGACGTTCTGACGATGACGCTTCGTGCACCTTTCTCCTTCACTGTCATGTTCCGAGGCATATCAAAGCAAAGGGGGGTCTGATAAGTGTTGCCGATCTGGGACAAAATGAAGTCTTTCTGCTGTCGGAGCTTTATAACGAAACAGTCGACGTCCACCACTTTGTCCTCGTATGCTGCGGGCAAGCGCCGGCACAAGGTGGTTTGCCTTTGCAGTGCAAGGCCATGGCACTGCATGAAACAAGTTGTCCATCCGGAGCTGGCTTTGAACTCTTTTGCTTCGATGCGCTGCGCCCTAGCTAATCTGCACGCCTCAGTCTGCACAATATCTAATGACACAGCACAGCCGTCTTGTCGTAGCTCCTGTATATGCCGGACTAGTTGCTCTTCGACGTTCAGATACCTGCCGGTCTTGGCACCGCGGAAAGCCTGTCGTGTCTTCTTTGTCACCTTAAGTTTTTCTTCTTGATCCCTCCAGTACCGAATACTGTTTTTTCTAACACCGAAATGCCTGCTTGCAGCCCGGTTGCCGTGCTCCAGTGCATACTGCGCTGCCTTCAGTTTAAATCCAGCCATATAGCTTGCGTATTTCCTCATGGTGGAACCAAAGTTGAGTACACGACCACAACATACGTACACCGCTTGCAAACTGATGTTTCTTTCTTTTTCTCTAATGGTGGTGATGGGGATCGAGCCCCAGGCGTTGTACACGTGACCTCCAAGGAGCGCGGCGATTTGGGGGGTATCAGTAATTGATGGAACAGCCTTTTTTTTTTTTCGCTCAAGGGCGCTTTTTTTTTCAAGTTTTATTTCGACAAACATGTTGGTTAGGTTGTTGCACTTCAAACTTTTTTTATTTGCTCGTCGATTTGCCTTCTTTTTTTCTTCAGGGTACCGCGTTACAACTGTACTGCTTGGGGGGGGGGGGGGGTTGGGGGGGGTAGAATCCGTTCTACTCACGACCAAGTTTGGGGTACGCCTATTATGTGCGGAATTAAAAATGAATTTTCCGCGACCAAACTAGGGGGGTGCACTTATTATGCGAGTGCGCCGATTATGCGAATAAATACAGTACTCAAGTGCATGAAGTGCGCAATTGCGCATTTGAGAGAGCTAGCTTTCGAGTAAAGCAGGCAGAATACAATGCTTTATTTGGCGCATTACAGAAGTTGTTGCACTAGATTAGGAACCCCCTGAAATAGGTTTTCCGCTCAACCGGCAAATAAACATTTATTTAACACCATTTCAGAAAGTTGTACTAGTATAAATTGCTTTATCATGTGAAGCTGGTTTGACTGCTGTGTGCTGCATTTAAATTTGCTCAGGTGGCTTTTGTGTGTGGGGCAGTCCCTGAGACTGGATTGTGAGAGTCATGAAAAAGTAGGGGCAGCAATTCCTAGTTATACAGAGGACCAAGCGTGCATTTACTTCAAATAGCTAATCACACAAGCTCCTTTGTAAGCAGCTTTTAATGATCATCACTGTCACTATATACATGCTTTGTAACCAATGGTGGTTACCTTTTACGAGTTGTCAAGACTCAAGAAACGAGGAGCCTCGTCTCAGGTCGTGTCCAAGCTTATTCAAGATATGTCCATAAGTATATACGGCAAATACACTTGTGTGCTATAGAATAGACAGAGGCAGTGACCTAGAATTCCTTTTTTCTTTGCTTTTTGCTTTTGTTTTCTTAACGGCTTTGTCCATTTTATTTGTTATTTCTTTAAAATCAAAGATGGGTTGTGATTTAGCACTTTTGTTTGTCTTTTACATTTGCCTATGCTTTTGTTGCTTATATTTGCTGAATTCTACAAGGACGTGCCAGTTAGTTAATTGTTTCAGTTTAGTGCGCGCTGCAACTTTCAGAACCACGGAGGAAGAAAAAAAATTGGCCCCGTATCTGCATGTTAATCTGCAAATGTCGTTGAAAGACGATAGTCTTGCGTGTGGAGAGAGTGAACAAAACATTAATTTCATGTTCTGCGCAAGAAAATCGGTGAATGTTATTCTGGAGGCGCTGTGTTAGAGTGCCTCGAGCGTGGAGCGGAGGCGAACGAGAGCATCAAGTTGCGTCACACGTGAGACAAGAGCGCCATCTGGCAGTTTTTTTGAAAAACGAAACGCATGGCTCTGAGACGGGTATGCGCGCCAGTCTCAGAGGTGATAATGTGTAGAACGCAAGACAACGAATAGGTGCCATCACCGTCTCGTCTTAGCAAAGCGTTGGAAACACTCGCCTTTTCGCGCAAGCGTTGCATGGTCAGCGTAGCATGATAAGAGATACAGTCCTTAAAATTATTTATGTATGCATTTTCTAGTAAAAGACGCATATGCAAATTATATGCGTGTTGTTATGGTGCCCCAGACATGCGGAATAATCGCTTTTTAATTGACAATTGCACAAGTATGAATGCTAAATTTTGAGCAACATTGGTGGGCGCTGCGGATGAGGTCGGTCGTTTCAAGTACCTGGTGCCATTAAGAGTGGACAAACAGAGAAATGCTCAGATAGACAGACCAAAGTTTTTGCGTCGAAGAATCCCAAGAAAAACTATCGTCTTCAAAAAAAAAAAAAGGAGGGAGGATGACGTCGTGCCGCCAACCTTGGCAAGCCCACCCGTTTTGAAGCCAGCACTGTCGGCCCAACACATGACCTTTTACATCACGCAAGCAACTAGGCTTGCCAAGACTTCAGAGTGTGGCGTTCGGTAGCTTTTATTTATCCGACATGCACTGGTTTGGTGCAGACCGGCCCATTCGTGCAGGAGGTTCAAAAACGGAACCTCAGTGAGACACCCTGAGGTTTTGGTGACGTGTTGGGCCAACACAGTGGGCTTCACTCGTGTGAGGTAATGCTCCCTCCTTTCTTTTTCTTCCTTCGTGTTCAGAACTCGGTTCATTCCACGAATTAAAAGGTGCCATTTCCCACAAGAAACAGTTCTGCATGTTTCCCTGTACCTGGCCTTGTTGAAGTGTCAATTCTCTAAAAGCAGCATTGAAACTTTTAACCCAACGATTTCCTCTCTGTTTCAGCTTGCTGAAAAACTTGGCCTGCTTCATGCCAGTGAGGGTGCTGACGACCAACGGCACATTGTGCTAAAAAAACCCACTCAGCAGAAAACACAAACTGCAGCACCTTGCCCTGTGCGTGAGAGAAAGAACTCCCGTGGCGCAGTATTGAAAGACAACGCGGATGCTTCAAAACCTGCTGCCGCCACGGCAGAAGGGTCACAAGGCTCATCCAACGAGCAGACCGTGTTGGCATGCTCAAGAGTGCCAGAGATAAAAATGCAGATGCAGAAAAAGAAGAAACCTACGAAGCCACTGACCGGTGATGCAAAGCAAAACGAAGAAGAAGAAAACTTTGACCAACTTATTGCAAACATTATGAAGTTGGACAGGACGTGCTCTTTCGCGAAGTGTGGGGAAAAGCTGCACACGGCACTTGCTGGCATAGGTGGACCGTGTCCTTTTTGCAGACGCGGATTCTGTTTCAAGCACGCCTTGCCGGAAGAGCACGGCTGTGGTGAGGAAGCCTGCAAACAGGCCCGGATAGCCTGGCACCGCTCCAAGGGAGGCACCATGGCACCGAGCTACGTCAAGCAGGAAAAAAGGGCACAAGCACAGAAGGCGCTAGACAAACGACTCGCCCAGATGGCCGAGTCTAGGAAACGGCAGACGAAAAAGTGATGCATCTGCTCAGTGTGATGTAGTAAAGTTGTACCTAGATCTCCTGCCAGACGCTCTTGTTGCACCCAAATGGTCAGCCACATCAGCATGCTTGTGAGAGTTTCATAGACAGGTGATGTTTTTGCTAGTTTCAAGGGGCACATTAAATGTTGTGAAACAATGTAAGCAAATATCATTGCATTGCTTGGAACAGTTTCATGCTGTTGAAATTTTTGTGCATTTTCTTTAGTTCAGACATAAAAACGTTCCAATCAGCACATGTGGCATTCAATTGCTGACGTTATAGTGTCAAACTTATGGGCACAAGCTCAGTCCTATTTATTTTGACTACCATTTTTCTCACATGAATGAATAGTACGGCCATGGAGATCACAAATCATGGGATGTATTGAAATTGATCAGCCTTTAACGGACCTCCATAAATTCCTCGATATTAAAAAGTTTTTCTACTCTCCGCTGCTCCACATAATCACATGTATTTGCGACCTCTATGTAACAAAGTAACAGCGAGAGATATCCTTGATAAAATGAATTTTCACCTCGGACAATTTAGAAATTTCGCCCGGGATTTTGTCATTTAGGATGCATCTACTGTGGTTGTCCCGCCACCGATGAAATGCAAAGCGGCGGCAACGTGCACCGTGCGCTTGTGGCCTGGGCCTGGCGACTCTCATGTGAGAGCAAACGATCGTTATAGCACGCGGCACGGGTGTGTGCGAAGCAGGCCTGTGCTCCACGTGCCAGCATTGACGACAATCTTGCCGCTGCGGGCGCATGCACAGATGTGCCCCCCCTCTTTCTCCAAACAAAAAAATGGCTTTTGTGTTGGCAGTGCCACCCTTCTATTGCAGCAGGAGAGCTGCACTTTAAGTGACACAGGTGACGCCACTTTGCATTGTTACGCTTCTAGTTAGCATCACATATGTGAAACGTCAATTGTGCTTGCAGTGCAGGCTATCCTATTTCATGAATATTATATATATATTCTCCTACGATACAGCCGTCACGTCGGGTTAACATCAATTGTAGTTAGCTGCCATGTGCTGAAGTTGAGGGCTACTGTCCTCGCAAGCACCAGCGCTTCATATCAGCTTATCGCTTCTGGTGTTGTTAGTACTCATGTTCCTGATGGCGTCGTTGCACAAGTGCAAACTGCTTTTGTAAACATCTCCAACTGTTCAACTGTATAAACACCTCCGACTGTCTGTACGTGCAACGTGTGTGCATATATTTAGTGTCATTTTATAACCTGTTGCTCAATAAAAAAAAAGTACAACACAATCATCTTTTCTCCGCATGCTTCGCATTACGTCGATTCCCAAGGGAGATCTAATGAATTTTTTTGTCTGAGGAGCGGCTAACACTGTTATACTTCCAAAGTGTAGAATGTACACACAATTCCTGCAGTGTATTCACTATTTTTTAGGTGCACGTGGAGTTAAAACTCGATCTTACATAACTAGGTTTTACAAAGTTCTTTATCCAACAAAGAAATTTCAATTCCCCAGCAAATACCCAATAGTTTCAGTGTTGTCATGAACCGAACTTGATGAACTACTTTGGCTCGCAAACCTGATTTAGCAATGTTTTCTTGAAACAACAAGTAAAAAGGCTGTGATTGCTTTCTAGTTTCGATAGAGACTGGGTTTTATTTCAGCATGTGCTTGAACTCTGTCACATTAAAGGGAAGATTTAAGTAAAAAAAAGCTGTGTTAATATGCAGATTAGGTGAAAAAAGTGCTTGCTGTATATATAGGACCTTATACTGATTTCAGATATGTAATTAGTTTCTTAGTAAGTTGCAGTTTTCGTTTTATGCCGTGACAATGTGTTTAGTTTTCTGGCGTGGCTGTGAACCCCCTTATGTGAAATGCCATTGCATTTCACATAAGGGGGTTCACTAAAGCCACGCTCTCAAAATAGCCATGATTGGGTTTTGGACAAACATTTTATGCCACTGCATTTTTATTGTTCCTAGCCATCGATGGCTAATATTGCTATACAATACAATATGCTGATATTGCTATACTGTAGAATGCAAGTAAGTATCAAAGTTCTTATAAGACAATTTAATGAACAAAAAATTGTAATGCAAGAATTCTTAGAATCCTCAGCTTATCACTTTTTTTGGGTTCGTAATAATTATACAGGAGTTTCAAAGTTTTAAAGAAGACACTGGCACCCTTTACAAGTTAAGGAATGTGTGAGCAAAATTTCATCCCGATCGGTATATCGGAAGTACCAAAAACATGTCTAAACTCTAGAGGTTGCCCAGAAACGGACCCTAAGGAAAACGCATTTTAAAGTATAAGCGAAAGCTCATGTATACAGAAGAGATGTGATTTTTAAGATGGTTGCTACCATCATGAGAGCTTGGCAATCTGGTTATTTTGAGCATGTGCCTTTAGTGAACTCCTTATGTGAAATGCAATAGCAGGCAGTCAGGTGACCATTTCAGGAGACTAGACCATGAGCTCTCTTTAGTTTTTAGTAGCCACCTTGTGCTCTTTGAAAGCTATTTTCATGCACTTCGAGTTTAATTACTATATCTTCAGTTTCTTGTTCTGAAAGCAGAGAAACTAAACTTGTGAAAGCAAATAAATGCAAAAAATACGTAATTTTGGAGAAAAACTGCATTTTTCAACTCGCATCTCCGCTTAACTGTCTTGTTACCGTGCAGAAATGGTTATTTTTCATATGTCTCGAGAAAATAGTTTTCGTCAGTCTGAAAAGTGCTCCAGCACACATTGCAGCATACCAAATTTTCCACAATGAAATGCTCTTTCCAAAAAATATGTGTTGTGTAGCAACAAAATTATTTTGGAATGAATAAAAATGTGAAAATTGTGAATTTTAGATTGCCAGTTAATGAATAGTGCAATAATAACACTATATATGCATAAATATTCACAAGAAAAGAAGTTCAGAACATACTTTTTGAAGACAAGTGACCCAAAAACAGTATAAAAATAATAAATTTAGTACAAATATTTCTATTCACATAGACAAAAAAAAAAATGGAACCACAGTGCTCCTTCATTGCTCGTGCCATGCGGTGAAGTATTGCTTGGTTTTTCGTGTGAGACAAGTGAACTCGTACATTTTTCTCAGTATATTTTTATTTTGTTTTTTTGGCTTGCGGGTGTTTCACTATAGATGGATGCCCATGATGTGAATAATCCCTCGACAAATCAGATGTCCATTGAACTTCACTATTTCGTCTGGCATCACCTCTTTCCATGAGCCACCTCACTCTGCCTATGTTGGCATTCCAATAGATGCATCCAGTAAATTCAGATGTCTTTGCATTTTTCTGCGTCGTATTAAAATAAGAACAATATTTCGCACAGTTTGGAAGCGTTTCGTGCTGCTCCGTAGTCGGGACGAAATGTGGTCCAGTGGCCTTGTTTTGAGGAGAATCTCTGCAGCTGGCAGCTGCACCCCAGCAACGTGGGGACTTCGAACATAACAAGAGTAGCTTTAAGATTGTACACAAAAGTCGGCAGCTAAGCACTTGCGGTAGAGGAGACAACTTCTGGCCATAAACAAAACAAACTCACGAACGGCTGTAGATCTCTCAGGCTGACGCAAAGTATTGTTGCCATGAAACTTGAAGCTGAGGTGCTGTCAACGTCGTAATCTAAGCTCGTCCTCATTCATGTCTGCTGCGGTTGCAAGAAAGTTTCAATTGGCATGCGATTTTTTCAGTGCAGGTGCGCACCCATGCGCATGTAACGCCGTCGCGGCCATAGGCGCGACTATTGACACTACATGCGGCCCTGTGTCTGATATAATGGTACAAGCGAAATTAAACCTGCTGAAAACTGTCTCAGAAGGCCATCTCTGCACATTATAATACATGCGACGGACCATGGGAAATATTTATTGCGGAATAAATATTTCCTCACTCCTAGCAACAGCTCTCTATTGAATAGTTGGAATAAATTTGTGGTAATTATTACTGCTCAACACTGCCAAAATGCGAAACTCGAGAAACAAATTCAGCATGCCAAAATTGCTGATCCAGAGCGTCAATCACCGGTGATCGATTTGAATAGGCGTGGTAACAAAAGAGTTGAAACATAAAGTGCCCTATTCACGACTTAACTTGATACTTTGACCAGGCTGCAAAGTGCGCTTGTGCACAAAACAGTGGACTAAACAGTTGGTAGCGCTCTTACATGCCAGGTGCTGCTAGAAGCGATGGTGGTGTCTTTCGTTATTTTGTGGTTTATGTGACAGATAGCGCTGATCAATTAATTAGTAGCTACTTCCTAACTTGGCTTGCTCACACAGTCACTCTATTCCTTACTTGCGTTATCATATATTGGCAATGATATGAAATGAAAGAACTTCACGTGACCATATAGTATTTGCTGCCTGCATCACCTGGACATGGTGTCCCCTATGTCTAGGCTGTCCTTGGGCTGTTTTGCAAACTTTTCAGGCATGCATGCATAGGTTGCCAGCCAGATTTGCGGTAGCTCCGAATATTACAACTACAGTAGACTCGTATTAAACGAAACTCTCCTAAATGAAAATGCTGCTTAAATAGAATAACTGCCCCTAATATGTTTGGTTTCGTACCTGAATATTATACCCCTGTTTATCTCTGTGTAAACGAAACTCCTCTTAAAGGAAGCACATTTTCCTGATCCTTTCAGGTTTCGTTTATACTTTACAATTTTAGGTTGTATAGAACCGAAAATTCACTTTCACAATTTCGCTAAATTCTGAATTTAACTAAATGACTTGAATATAGTCGTCACATTATTAAATCAAGTTTGAAATGTTATGTTCTTCTAATTTTTCATTTACATACCTGCCAGTATGATCGAATTATGATTCTCTACGTAAAAGGCCTATTGAATAAAGCTCATTGTCAATGCATCCAACAAAATGTCTTGTCCTTGGTCTAATGTAGAACAATTGACAACTGCTGTTCTGTCTGCATCTGCATTGTTCATGTGCCATCAAGGATCCTGCAGGCATTCAGTAGTTTCCTATGTGTACATGCGCACACCTACCCGGGCATTTCGCGTGTGCCCTTTGCTCATATAAAGTTACGCAGTGGTTGTCCCTGGGAAGTGTTTCAAAAGGTGTTATAGTTCGTACATGTATCGCCACGTGCTGAAGAAACATGTCGTCATCATCATCAGCCTGACTAGGCCCACTGCAGGGCAAAGGCTTCTTCCATGATCCGCCAATCAACCCAGTCTTGTGATTTCTGTTGCCACATGATACCTGCGAACTTTTTATTTTTAATCTTATCGGCCCACATAACTTTTTGTCTCCCCTTCATGCGTATGGCTGCCTACGAGCTAAGTGCCCGGCCCATGTCTTCTTCTTGATTTCAAGTATTAACTCCGGTTTGTTTCCTCATCCACTCTGCTCTCTTCTTGTCTTTCAAGGTTACATAATCACATTTCTTTCCATCGCTCGCTGCGTCATCCTCAAACTCGAACCCTCTTTACAAGCCTCCAGGTTTCTGCTCCGTAGGTAAGTACTGGCAAGATGCAGCTGTTAGTTATATGCCTTCCTCTTGAGGGTTAGTGGAAGATTACAGTTTATGATTTGAGAATGCTTGCCATATGTGATCCATTTCATCCTTATTTTCTAGTTCTTTCACTCTCATGGGTTGGTTTTGCGGTTACTACTACCTGTCCTAAGTAGACATATTTCTTTACAACTTCCAGCGTCTTTCGCGAAGTGCTGTTTTCTGCCAAGACTATTGTACATTGCTTTAGTTTTGTGCGTATTTATTTATTTTGAAACATGTCAGAGCTTCTAAATCTAAGTACGCCCAATGATCATCCAATGATCCAACAAATGCTTGTTCTTGTTCAACTATTAACTGTGGCACATGCCCACTTGAGGCATGATTCCATATCGTCGTCGGCCACTGCATAAAAAAATTGCAGTGTGTAGCAGATACCAGGCTTCTCTGAAAAATGATGGATAACATAGTGAATGCTAGCCTATTACAAAAAAAAAAAAATTATGGTTATTTATGGCGTAGTGCGTACCCAGCAAGTTAGCAGTTACTCAGTGTTAACAAAAGGCTCTGAAAAGCCGCTCTTCTAGCTTTTACTGCGACAGTGCCGCACGTTTCACACAGGCATGGTGTTTTTTGTTTTTTTTACTTGCTTTCACAAATTTGGTTTCTCTACTTTCATGACCAGAAAAATCAAGGTTGTAGTTAAACTCAAAGTAAGTTAAAATTGCTTTTATAAAGTTCAAGGTGGCTATGAAACACAAAAAGAGCTCATAGTCTAGAGTCC